CTCGTTTACAATTAAAAAACGGACGTAAAAATATTCGCATACGAATGCTTTTTCGATCCGTTTACGACTGTTCGTAGGCGATGCACAATTTAAAGCGAAAAAGTGCTCGAAAAAGAGTCGTAAACGGCTATCATAAACAATTTTTAATCCGGTTTTTCTTCGAGAAAATATCAAATTACGAGCTTGTTTACGATGATTTTGCTGGCTGGGGCTTACACATTGAGAAGATAGCTTACTGCCAATATAGAAGTATTACATATATGATTGTTACTTACTTTTTACTCTCACTTCAGAGAGTAATTTTGCTGTTTGACAGTTTTACAGTTTTACAGGATTTTTCACGAAAAGTATTGGATCAGAGCTAATTTTTTTAAATGTACGTATTCAGCACTTAACCCGTTATTTCTAAAAGCGGTCGCCCCTTGGCAGGCAATGATAAACTTCAACACTTAACAAAAGTCTAATCAACAAAATAACTGTGTTCGTATGGAATAGTAACTTATGTCGAAAGGCTGGATTTAGTATAATGCAGCATACCATTGCGATTGACTCACTGACGCAGAGTCGTTGAAGAACTTTTGGCAAATAAACGTGCAGGAAATAGTTCCGATACTAGCAAGGCATTTTTATTAAGTCTCATCAAAAAATTCCTTGTAGTTTAAAGAATAAGGGGAATGCCACATTATACTAAGGCAGCTTTCCGACATAAGCTAATATTCCATACGAGCACAGGTAAAGTTCTGAAATAAAAACACTAGAGGTTTTTGTAACAGCATACAAATTCGCCAGTTTTCATAGAAATGGGGTGATTTCCAAAAGAAGTCTACCGAGGTTTAGAAAAAGACTGATGCCTTGTATTTTGATGTTTTGGAATGCACCAATGGAGCGAGTCCTTGTCTATATATAGATCTGGGTCGTTCGGGTTAGATAGACCCAACTGTCATGGGAACGATGTTGTTGTTTAAGCGGCTACTAAATCTCGCTCGGTTCGGTTCATCCATCAACGTTGTCGTCTTTTTCAGCTAAGGGGAGCACCAGAGGTGCCGTGAGTTATGTGAACGAAGATTTGGCTTGATGCATTTCTGTTACACAACCATTATTAAACTTAATAATGAATGGTGTAAACAGTTCTTAACTAATCATTCTTAATGTAGTATGTGAAAGTGGAACAATGTAAACGCCCATTTATACAATATATGAATTTCCTTCAACAAACTATACATAAGATTTTTAAGCAGTCATAAAATACAAGCAAGACTTGATGTTCCAAACTTTATTGAACTATCACACGATTAGAAAAGGCCATTCACTTAACTTCCTTAACTTGTAAGCCCGGTGGCAATGATTGCTTGATTTTCTCGGCCTTCTCTTTGTCCTGCACCACTAAAGTGTACAAAAATCGCGAACAGCGAATCTTGAATTTGGTATTAGTAGGATTTTTCTTGATTTTCACGGCACGCGCATCGGCGCGACGAGCCTTATTCAGGAAATCTTTCACCTCTTTTATTTCACGCGGCATCTGTCACAAATAAATAAATTTAATGTTTTCTAAGACAAGATTAAAATATTTCAATAAATAACACTTACTTTGCACGGCTATTGCCAAATTCAACAAAATATATTTTGCAACAGGAGAAAACCAACCAATGTTGTCGTTTTCCACGTTTCGAAAGAAAGAGGAGGACGGCCATTTTTCGAAAAGTCGATGAACACAACTTCCGGATGTCACAATTAGAACTGCAAATATATCGATGTCAGTATCGATATATCGAGTAATTGGTTTTTTTTTGCTGACATCGACTTTTTTTTCGATATCGAGTATGACAANGATGTCACAATTAGAACTGCAAATATATCGATGTCAGTATCGATATATCGGGTAATTGGTTTTTTTTTGCTGACATCGACTTTTTTTTCGATATCGAGTATCACAAAGCCATTTTCTCATTACTTATTTTTGCGCCAAACAACATCAGTGACTGATTTAATAGACTAAAAATCTGCATACCAAATTTCTTATTAAAAAGTTCGCAATTTTTGAGAAACTTTTTTGATTTTTTTCTAATTTTTGCAAAAATTTTACAATTTAGGTTTATATGGCTTTTGTTACAGATTGAGCTAATGAGAATGAAAAAAATATAGAATGAAGAACATTGCGAATACTGTAATAATATCACTGTGTGATTTTGAGTGTGGGTCACTGTTCATACATAAGCTTAGTATCCAGCTCTTAAGAAAACGGTCAAGAAAAAATTGCCATTATTTCGCGTGTGTGTCCAAGGAATTTTGACATTTTTGATAACGCACAGCCTGTTGCCTCACTCTTTCCTCAAGAAATAATGGAACGGGCATATATTTCTGTTGCAAACCTGGGTTGCCTTGTGCTCTTTTTTCACAAAAAACTTTAGAAAACCGTAGTAGAAAGCGTACTAAATTTCTGAAGAACTGCGTACTGCCTTAAGGAAATTTGACTCAAGAAAATTTCTTAGCCATTTCTTGTACGTCATTTTATATGGAGTTTTTGCTTTTCTTAAGAGCTGGATACTAAGCTTTACATATGTACCAGGGATTGGCATTGGTTGAACGTCAACTGCGTCATACTCAATCAATACTGCTGCTTTCTATGACTGAGCAGCGGCGTTGGCTTAGTAGTATCGATACCTAAACGAAATTAGAGGATGACTGAACACGAGCGCATTGCGTGCTGTCTTGCAAATACAGCCACCACAAGTGAACGATGCTTATAACTGCTCATACTGATATTGACTTCGGCAAATCTGTACTCTGAATGATCGTGCACGAAACCAGCAAACGTGGCAGTTGAACGGCTCCGAAAACATGAGAGTCATCATTTGTTGCAGAAGTCGTTTGACTTGTTGCTGAAAATCATCTGACTTGTTGCTGAAAGCCATTTGACTTGTTGCTGAAAATCATCTGACTTGTTGCTGAAATGACGACGAATGTGGTAAAGGGTAATTTATCGTCTCGTATGCATGTATGTATGTATTTATAGCGCGTCTTCCATTCAATTGCATTGCTCCCTGCTGGCTAGTTGTGAGGAATGTGCATACGTACGTATGTATGTATGTACATATCAATGCTTCATTTCAAACAAGTAAGTGTCTTTGAATGTTTTTGAACTAC